ACATACTACGAGTACACCATGGCAAACACAATTCTTTCACCAAAGTCACGGCTACACCAGTGGAAGGACTCAACTGTGGCAGAGATGTACCTGTTCTTTGCCACAATAATGCTTATGCCATATGTGTATAAGCACACTGTCACCACATACTGGTCTTCAGACAGCCTAATTTCAACCCCAGGTTTTAGCAATATACCGGTGAATTGATTTCTGTTACTGTTATGTATGCTACACTTCTCAGACAAAACAAGGCCCGACAGAAATGAGAAGTTATATAGGATCAGGAATGTGTGTATGTACCTGAAATATAAGTGCTGTATGTATTTTTATCCCTTCAGGAAGCTTTTTATTGATGAATCTTTGATTTTGTTCAAAGGTACACTGTCGTTCAAGCAGTACAGTGGACCCCTGACGTACGATGTCCCCAACCTACGTAAAAACCGACCTACGACTCATTTCAATGTAAAAATTTGACCCCAACATACGGTGAAAAACTCGACCTGCAGCATTCGTCCCATACGCGTCCCCACGTGTCTGTCTGTCTGAGCACGTCTCAGCTGGCCTGCCTTCAGTTAGTGTGCCAATGTTTACAAGCCAGAGCGGTCGCTCCCACGCATACATTCGGAACATTTTGTATTATTTCAGTGTTTTTTAGTGCTTGTAACTGCTAAATAAGCCATCATGGGCCCAAAGAAAGCTTCTAGTACCAACCCTGTGGTAAAAAGGGTGAGAAATACTATTGAAATACTATCGTATCACAGTCAGCTGCTGCTACTGCTGTAGCACCATCAACTGCTGCTGCACCACAGTCAGCTGCTGCTGCTGCTGCTGCTGCTGCTGTAGCACCATCAGCTTCTGCTGTAGCACCGTCAGCTGATGCTGCACCATGGTCAGCTGATGCTGCACCACGGTCAGCTGTTGCTGCACCATGGTCAGCTGCTGCTGCTGTAGCACCGTCAGCTGCAGCTGCACCACAGTCAGCTGTACTACTCAAAGATGTGGAGAGACTGTTGTTGGTGTGAATTTTCGAGAATACCAAAAAACAATTAACCCCAGAGGGTTATCCACCCAGGATAACCCAAGAAAGTCAGTGTGTCATCAAGGACTTTCTAACTTATTTCCATTGGGGTCTTCAATCTTGTCCCCCAGGATGCGACCCCCACCAGTTGACTAACACCCAGGTACCTATTTGCTGCTAGGTGAACATGACAACAGGTGTAAGGAAACATGTCGAAATGTTTCCACCCGCCGGGAATCGAACCCGAGTGTGAAGCGGGAGCTTCACACTCGGAATATATATTGTGCCACCAGGCACAATATATATTGTGCATGTACTACTCTACTACTGTGCATGTATTCTTTTTGTGTGTAGGAAAATGTATATTTCATGTGGTAAAATTTTTTTTTCATACTTTTGGGTGTCTTGAATGGATTAATTTGATTTCCATTATTTCTTATGGGGAAAATTAATTCAACCTACGATCATTTCGTCTTACGATGGGCTCTCAGGAATGGATTAATATCATTGGTTGGGGGTCCACTGTATATACCAAGCAAGAGGAAATGGTTTGATATAAAGTTATTTGTATTGTGTAATTGCAGAAGTGGTCTGGTTTTGGATATAATTGTGTACACTGGCAGTAATACATTGAGAGATATCAGGAAGTTATTGTTTATCTCAGGTGATGTGGTTAGAACAACGACAGAACCATATCTTGGTAAGGGGCATATATTATATACTGATAACTGGTACACAAGCCCCTCACTCAGTGATTTCTTGCGAGTGAACATGACAGACATACGTGGCACAGCGTGTGGAAATCGTAAGCACATGCCTAGGTTTGACGCAGGCACTCACAGAGGTGAGGTGCAGGTGATGCTGCCAATGACATTATGGCATTTTGGTGGCATGACTAATGTGATGTCACATTGTTGACATCAGTTCACCAACATGAAATGGTAGGCAGTGGCAGGCAGAATAGAGAGACCAATGAACCCATTATAAAACCTGCAACTGTGATGGACTACAACCTCAATATGCACTTAGTGGACAAATGTGACATGCAGATTGGGTTTGCTGATTGTGTTTGCAAGAGTTATAAGTGGTACCTGGAGTTTACCTGGAGAGAGCTCTGGGGGTCAACGCTCCCATGGCCCGATTTGTGACCAGGCCTCATGGTGGATCAGGGCCTGATCAACCAGGCTGTTACTGCTGGCTGCACGCAATCCAATGTACGAACCACAGTCCAGCTGGTCAGGTACCGACTTTAGGTACGTAAAACTCTTTTTCCATCTTCTTGATATTTCCATGCTGAATGCTTATAATATGTATAAGTTGAAGACCAACAACAAACCCAAATATGGTGAATTTTGTTTGTCAGTCATCAGACAAATAATATTCAAGTACCAAGGAACAACACTTGCAATAGACCAGCGCCCACAAAATTATCAGAACATGCCCTCTTATCTGAGGCCTTGTGATCACTAGCCCATACAACTGCCTCCTACTATTTTCAAGAAAACTGCTCAGAAGAGGTGTTATGTCTGTGCACATAACACAAAATGCCCAAAAAATGCTGACACTCGTTTTATATGTGAGGAGTGTAAAATACCACTGTGCATATACAGTGGAACCTCTACTTGCGAGTTTAATCTGTTCCATGACCTTGCTTGCAACTGGATTTGCTCGTTTGCCGAGTCAATTTTCTTCATTTAAATTAATTGAAATGCAATTAATCCATTCCAGTGGAATTCTGTACTTCAATAATTTTGCTAATATCACCTCTATGGCTTATTTATCTATCTCACTTTATCTAATATGACATAACAATATAAATAACATAGAAACCTGATATATACTCTAGAATGAATACAATGTCATTATATATGTGGTGGCGGTGGCGGCCGAAGGGAGTTTGTTTGGAGACAGGACAAAATACTCCTTGAATATTTTGCTGTCATCAACTCTATGGCTTATTTATCTATCACAGTTCATCTAATATGAAATAATAAACAATATAAATAACATAGAAACCTGATATATACTCGAGAATGAATAAAATTTGTCATTATGTAACAGGTGGAGGCGGCCACAACCGCTCCCTCTTTGTTGTGGTCAACACTGCCATCTATTATTATAATTATTATTATGTAGTACGTACATTATTATTATGTATTATTATTATACGTATTATTATTATACTTATTATTATTATTATTATTATATATAGTACTATTATTATTATATGTATTATTATTATATGTATTATTATTATACATATTTTTATTATACGTATTATTACAATGTAAATAATTTGTAATTTTTATTCAAAGAAAAAATACGTATAAGATTTACTGTTTTGCCTTATTGCAATAATTGTATAAATAATGTCAACCCATTCATGACTGCATATTGGAATGGACAGTGACGTCATTTGTTTAGTCTTGAACATAGCCAAAACAATCGAACATTTCTCCTACATGGAGCTCAGTTTCAAGGTACTTTTTGTCATGAAAGCAATCTATTTCTGTAATATATCTTCCGTTCTATCAAATGAGACCAAAAAAACGAGAATACAACCATAAAAATCATACAAAAATACTGCTAAGGGGTGACTAATTGATGAGAAGTGAACTCCATTATTTATGCTTAGATTTCTTTCATTTTTGGTGTACATTAGGAAGCATCTTTCCATCATACATTGCCCAAGTTTCAATAAGATAGTCCAACAAACAAATGAGATACAATTCCCTAGATCAAGAGCAAGAGCCCCTCACCAGCGTCAAGGAACCTGCCTTGAGGTCTGCTCGCTTATGAAAATTTTGCTCACTTATGGAAGCAAAAAATCGACCCATTGACTGCTTGTAGTATTTGGAAAAACTCGCACATGGATGCACTCGGAAGTAGAGGTTCCACTGTACTCATGTTTCAAAGAATTCCACAAGCTGCAGGAGTTCTAGGAAAGTGTCCAGTGACTGTACATTTGTATATAGTATATTATAGAACAATAATAAAAAAAATTTTGTATTGTTTGTTTGTGTAAACAAGTTTTATTTGTAGATGAATGGTTCAGAGAACCGACATGTTGATAAATTAGACACATGTGCAACTCTTGGGTATCTCAATAAAGATACCCAAGAGTTGCACATGTGTCTAATTTATCAAACAAGTTTTGTAAACATATTGATGAGAATGTTTGTGCACTTGTGTTGCACACAAAGAGTGTCAATATGTATATTGCAGGCCACAGGCCACATAAGTTACCTGAAAATAAAGTAATGGAAAAAACAAGAAACCTTTGAATAAGAGTAAAAAAAAATTTGCCGGGTGAGCGGCATTCGCCGCTGTTGCCATACACTGCTCATTTTCTGCCAGTTTTATGCCTTTGTCTCAGTAAGTACTGATTGCAAAAATTTTTTTTAGGCTTAAAAGCACTCAGCAAATTAATCCTAACATTTTGGTAAGAAAAAAATCATTTTTTTTTCGAATATTTTTCGACTTAGAATAACAGTTTCAGAAATGGACTTGCAACAGTCAAAGGGTTAAGACATAAGTCTGTCATTTACTGTATTAATCTTTGCAGCTACCCAATATTATTGTCAGGTTGAAGGATGTGTTAAGGGCTCCTGCAACTTCGGCTTCAAATTTTACAACGAATCTGGTCGTGGAATTTTTTTGGTACAATAAATTTCCACAAGATTTCTTCAGCTGAATACAAAGGAGGTGGCAGTAAAGATGCAAAGACGATGTACTAATCAGTCCCTCACCCTCAAAGATGTTGTTTTGAGGTGGTCATTCCCTCAGCCTAGAGAAGAGCTCTGCTCAGTAGTTTGGAACAACGTAATACCTAACTGTTGCACATACGTTTCATTTATTATGATATTTCAAAGTAGTGTTCTTTTACGAGTGAGTATTTATTCTTCACTCTTTCTCCCATATTCTTCGACTTGTTCTTATTTTCCCTTTCTCCTCAAACATTAATCTCCTCCCTTTTTCCCAGGCATGGACAAGCCAGCCAAGTATGTAAGAATGTCCTCCAACACTGACATGAAGCATGTCATCACCTTGCTCACTGATTACTGGCAGCTCCTCGACCCCCATAGACCCCAACTGGTCATCTCTGTTACAGGTGGCGCCAAGAACTTCCAGCTGGATGGCAAGAAGAAAGCGATCTTTTCCTCGGGACTCATAAAGGTGGAGTGCATCTACTTTCCCTACTTATTGAAAGTGAAGGTTATACGTAGTATACTCTTATTAAATACCGTCTACTTTCTTATAAACCTACTTTACATAGTGTTGCTTTTTTGGAAATGTGATTGAAAAAAATGCATTCAAAATTGAATATTGTGCACCATGAAGGTCTTTCCATGTGCTATTTACTTTTTGAAACCCTTGCTAAAATTCAGATTCTTCATTTCTTTTTTTCAGTACACATATAATGTAGTTTATATGTAAAAATGCTAAGCACAAAAGAAAGCCACTAACATGCTGTGGCTTTCTTTTATGCTTAACTAATCCAAATGCTTAAAGACTAATTAAGAACTAGACATAGATTATTAAGTTGGAGGTATAAAATGTTCAATAAATGACTATCAGTGAATAAGCAGAAGAATAGAGAGCAACTCGAACTGTGGTCCATGCATACTGCAGGCCCAACACTGTACCCACCCAGCCACTGAGCTTACAATACATGTATATAGAGAACTCGCTGTGAAAAGTACAGTGGACCCTCGGTTTTCGGCTGGTGCGGAAATCATACAATTCGGATTTTGAGTACTTTTTTCGGTGAAATTTCCCCCGGGTTTCGTACATCTGCTCGGAAATCATTGGTACCAGACATATGTGCCTGGGCCGCTCATACGTTCGTGACTCACTCTTGGGCACATTAAATGTTTTGTTTTACATTAATATAGACATTTTCATTAATCCATCTATGATATTTTCTTTAGAACATATAAGAAACATGTTACATAACATATAAATATGCAATGTTTATATTCTCTGTATGTTTAATAATAATCACTCTTGGGCATATTAACTGTCTTATTTTAGGTCAATATAGACATTTTCATTCATCCATCTATAATATTTTCTTCAAAATTATAAGAAACACATTGCATAGCATATAAACATGCAATGTTTATATGCGATGGAGGGTAAACATTACGTTTTCTCTGGTCCAGCATTAGAGAAAACTGTATGAATCTGCGTTGGCCCGGTAACTGACCCTTAATACATAAGCTTTTGTTTACAATTCTCAGCATAAGCTTTTCATTACTTCTCCTGTGTTTATGAAGGCATCTAAAGGTAGTTGTTACAGACAATTAAACTCAGTGAACAGGTATGTCAATGGTAATAATATGGCTCTGGGCCACAGTGTATGTACTGGTAGATATGGGTTGGATGTGAGTGGCCAGGATGTGGATGAGTTAGTGGACAACCACAAGGAAGAGCTAACACGAGTCTTCAATAAAGGTATGAAATGTTCATTTATCATTAAAATTAGTCATTTATATTTCTTATTGTTTTCTGTATGTAAAACTATAGTTTTTTTTTTTTTACAATCGGCTGTCTCCCAGCGAGGCAGGGTGACCCAAAAAGAAAATATTTTCATCATTCAACACTTTCATCTCACTCACACATAATCACTGTTTTTGCAGAGGTGCCCAGAATACAACAGTTTAGAAGCATATACGTATAAAGAATACCCCAACATATCCCTCCAAACTGCCATTATCCGAACCCCTCCTTTAAAGTGCAGGCATTGTACATTGTACTTTCCCATTTCCAGGGCTCAAGTCTGGCTATATAAAAATAACCGGTTTCTCTGAATCCCTTCACTATATAATTACCTTGCTCACACCCAACAGTTCGTCAGGTCCCAAATACCATTTGTCTCCAGTTTACTCCTATCGAACAGCTCATGTAAAGCTTGCTGAAAGTCCAAGCCCCTGTGCCCACAAAACCGTCCTTTAACCCCCTCCTCTAAAAAATGTATTTTTTGTTAATATTTTTTGGGTGTCTGGAACAGATGAATTGAATTTACATATTTCTTATGGGAAATATTACTTAGGTTTTCAGCCATTTCAGATTTCGGCCAACCTTCTGGAATGGATTAATTACAAAAACTGGGGATCTACTGTACCATATTTTCCAGCATATAAAGCGGACGACAGAAGTATCATAATGGTACATCAGTAATCATATTCAAGAGCTAATTACTCTCTTATTTTATGCTGAAGTGTAACCCAAAGGCTACCCTTCACCCTGACCTTGAGCATATAAGGTGCTGGCTGTTTTTCCACGCCTTTTTCTGGGGAAGAAAGTGTGCCCCATATGCCGGAAAATATTGTAAGTTTATTTAGGCACAGGTACACATAAGTACAATTATCATACATAGTAACAAATATTATCCATGGGGAAGTGGAACAGAATTCTTCCTCCGTAAGCCGTGCGTGTCGTAAGAGACAACTAAAATGCCGAGAGCAAGGGGCTAGTAACCCCTTCTCCTGTATATATTACTAAATTTAAAAGGAGAAACTTTTGTTTTTCCTTTTGGGGCACCCCGCCTCGGTGGAATACGGCTGGTACGTTGAAAGAAAGAAAGAAGTAACATATATACAAGTTACCCACCAGGATAACCCACTGAGGTCGTCCAGTGCTGCGAGGAAGACGTTGATCTGTCTCATGGATATAATTCAGTGTAATATCCAGGGGACTAAGTTGTGTGTTTCTCCAGGGGACTGAGTTCTGTGTTTCTCCAGGGGACTGAGTTCTGTGTTTCTCCAGGGGACTGAGTTCTGTGTTTCTCCAGGGGACTGAGTTCTGTGTTTCTCCAGGGGACTGAGTTCTGTGTTTCTCCAGGGGACTGAGTTCTGTGTTTCTCCAGGGGACTGAGTTCTGTGTTTCTCCAGGGTCCTGAGTTCTGTGTTTCTCCAGGTCATTTCTGTTATTATTGGTTCCAACATTTTTTTTTTTTTTTTGTAATTAATTTCTCACAACTGTAGCTTGTTCTACTAACATGCTGATGGATCCTCAACCCATTATGTGGTTCTGTAATTCATACTGTTAGAGGATGGGTATCGGATGAATGCTGTCAATAGGATGGTTATGGGATGACTACTGTCCACAGGATGGGTATGGGATGACTACTGTCCACAGGATGGGTATGGGATGACTACTGTCCACAGGATGGGTATGGGATGACTACTGTCCACAGGATGGGTATGGAGTGACTGTCTACAGTATGGGTATGTGATGACTACTGTCCACAGGATGGGTATGGGGTTACTGTCTACAAGATGGGTATGGGGTGACTGTCTACAGGATGGGTATGAGGTGACTGTCTACAGGATTGGTATGAAATGACTACTGTCCACAGGATGGGTATGGAGTGACTGTCTACAGGATGGGTATGGGATGACTACTGTCCACAGGATGGGTATGGAGTGACTGTCTACAGGATGGGTATGGAGTGACTGTCTACAGGATGGGTATGGGACGACTACTGTCCACAGGATGGGTATGAAGTGACTGTCTACAGGATGGTTATTGGTGACTGTTTACAGGGTGGGTATGGAGTGACTGTCTACAGGATGGGTATGGGATGACTACTGTCCACAGGATGGGTATAGGGTTATTGTCTACAGGATGGCTATGGGGTGACTTTCTACAGGATGGGTATGGAGTGACTGTCTACAGGATGGGTATGGGGTGACTGTCTACAGGATGGGTATTGGGTGACCACTATCTACAGGGTAGGTATAGGGTGACTACTGTCTACAGAATGGATATGGGGTGACTGTCCACAAGATGGGTATAGGGTGACTATCTACAGGATGGGTATGGGGTGACTGTCTACAGGATGGGTATGGGATGTCTGCTGTTTGCAGGATGGGTATGGGGTGACTGTCTATGGGATGGGTATGAGGTGACTGTCTACAGGATGGGTATGAGGTGACTACTGTCCACAGAATAGGGACAGTAGTCACCTCATACCCATGGAGTGACCACTATCTACATGATGGGTATGGGGTGACCACTTCAGCAGACAAAACAAGCCATAGCACTTACCAGTTGATCTACGGTTATGAGGTAAATACAGCGTCTCCTCACTAAGCAACGTACTTGTTTACCAATGACTCAGACTTACGACGGGTTCTCTGACCAGTATGCATACCTAAATAATGTATATTAGAGCTGTTTTCCTCTGTTCTGTTTATTACTGTGTTCAGTAAACTACTGTATAAACATTTAAAAATATGCCAGAAACGTTATAAATGGTACAAACCCACTACCATTATAGTATACTCCTCACTTAGCGACAAATTTGTTTTCCAATGTGGTCTTGGGAATGGAACTTTGTCACTGAGGAGAGGTTGTGTTGCTGTTGAAAATTAAACAAGAATGCAAGTGTACCAACAGTGCTTCTCTTGCCACTAGTAAGATCTTGTATGAAGTTCCTCTCTACACAAGCTTACCTTGCTAGTATGGAAGGTTAGGTTTCAGACCACCACTGTAAAGCAAATATCACCTTAAAGCTAATATTGCCTTAAATCAATTGATGCCTTAAAGTAAATATTGCATGAAAGCGAATCACAGCCATTTTTTCACTTGCCAGTGCATATAAAAGCCTAAACACACGTTTACACGATCAGTTATCAAATTAAAAAAGTCAGTATACAGTAGGACCCCGCTTTACGGTGTTTCACCTTATGTCGTTCCTCTAATACGGCGATGTCAAATTATGACCAAAATTTACTATACGGCAAGCTTCAATATGGCGCCCCCCACCTGGTTTGTTTACATTCTCTGTGACCACTTCTATTATGTCAGGAAACTTTCCAAAATTTCAAGTGTTTTAAAGTTACTGCATATTTTATATGTACTCTGATATTATACTTATGTGTACCTGTACCTAAATATACTTACACACTGTGCTGGTGTGCAGGTACACATTAAAATCGCTAAGTCTCTCTCTACTCATGACGCCAATACTATGTAATAATAATCACTCTTGGGCACACTAAATGTCTTATTTTACATTAATACATGTATAGGCATTTTCATTAATCCATCTATGATATTTTCCTCAAAATTATATATGAAACCCGTTACATAGCATATAAACATGATACATACACTCACAGAATAAAAATTGACGTAAATATGAGATTTGTTTACAAAGCAACTGT